ATGGTGACGGTTGTGCAGCAATGTGAAGGTACTTACGGCCACTGAACTGCACCCTTAAAAGTGGTTTAAATGGTAAATTCTGCTATGTGCAGTTTACCACAAAACACATTTCCTGAGGAATGGCAAGGCCCTGTGCCACCTTATGTGGCCACTCAGAGAAGGGCCGTGCAAGATTTCCCCTCCCTGAGATGTCAAACTTGGTCTATCCGAGAAGACTCTGGTTCCAGAGTATTAGGGTCAAAGCAACTTAGGGGCCGTCCAGATCACCTGGTTGTGCTGGGTAATGCAGTGGGGACTGAGCTGGGACCCAGCCACGAAGGAAGCTACTAAGTGGAAATGGGCATCCTTGAGAAATTTAGTATTTCACAATACTGAAAGGAATCAGACAGCACTTAAGAGTTAAAACGCAGCTAAGCAGTCTGGGAGGCCCTGTGATCTCAAGAGTGGCAACACGGCCACAACTCATGCCCATCAGAAGCCCTGCAGTGGGTAGTTGGTAAAAACAAACACAGGTGCGAATTATCACTTAATACAACCAGGTACTTCTGGAGATAGTTTAAAACCTTGCTACTCAAAGGTGGTCTGCAAAGCACCAGCATGGGCTTTACGTGGAACTTGGCTCAACGTGCAGGACCCCAGGCCACCCTAGACCTTTGGGATCAGGTCTGCACTATTAACAAGATCCTCAGGTTTATTTGCACTTTGAAGCTTGAGGACTGCTTGAAGACCTGGACTCCATGGAGAATAAACATGTAAGGTTTATTCTTTTAGTAATCTCTACACCTGATGTGGGGCTTGAACTCACGACCCAGAGATCGAGCGTCGCATGCTCTTCTGAGCGAGCCAGGCACCCCTAAACGTGTACTTAATAGTCAACAGTTGGGAATTACTTGTTCACGGAAGTAAATCCATGATGCAATCCACTAGGGCTATCAAAGACATAGGGGAGTTTTACACTGGGAGGCTATCACTGGTACAGAGCCCTTGCCTTGGGGAAGGTCACGTTCTATGCCATTCATGAGAACCCTAGCCTTTACTGAAAATTTTGGTGGACAGCAAGGGAGGCAGTCGACATCACATATCCCACTGTGACTCTAACCCCAACATGGGCTCTGCATTGCAGAGGGACAGGGTAGGTGGACCCCCAGCCTGGCTAAGTCTGGTGTGGACCCCTCGCCCTCCAGTCCAAGGAGGGGGTTCAGCTACTACTCCTTAGTTAAGACACATCCATGTGGGAATTCTTTAAGATTTTATTTAAGGGGGCGGGAGAGCATGCACAAGCAGGGGGAGCAGCAGTGGCAAAGGGAGAAGCAGGCTCCCCACTGAGCAGAGAGCCGGACTTGGGGCTTGATCCCAAGACCCTGGGATCATGACTTGAGCTGAAGGCAGACACTTAACCGACTGTGCTACTCAGGCCCCCCAACATGGGAATTCTCTTAACAGCTAATCAGCTATTTTTCTGTATAATTATATTTGTAGCTCTTTTCAAACAAGTTGTTGTGGTCATGTAAAGAAATAAGGAAATCTCCTTCAATAGATTTTAATATGGGGCAGTAACTCCCTAATTGTATGGAAACGCTCCTTTCCCTAAACTCTTGCTTTGACTGATAACCACAGGTATAAGGGACTAAAACTGCAACGTACTGAGTGTCAACTCTAAGGTGGATGCTGTTTATGTGCAGTTAGCTCATCAACTTCCCCAAATCCTGACTGAGACTGTTCTACAGAAGGGTCAGCAGGCTCAGAGAAATTACCTGACCTGTGCCAGGTCAAAAGGCTGCAACACGACAGAGCCCATGACTTAAATCCAGGTGTATCTCCCCCCAGACCTACAGCTTTGCATGCTGGCATCTCATGAACTGCCGAACTGAACCCCAGCATCAGGCTGGTTACATGCGTATTCACCCTTGAGTTGATGTGATCTCATGGCCCATGTCACGTCTGCGCCGAGGCACAAACTGGATACCTGTAAAGAGCTCTGCAGGCTCCAAGGGTCTCACAGCTGTTTGATGGCATGAGAATGACCAGGCAGCTTAGTATCACAGATTTTCCCATTTCCTGGTCTCTCAGGCATCAAAACAAGACAAGAAAGGCCGTTTTTTAAAGGTATTTCCTGATGAATGAAACCTAGGAAGTACCAGAAATCTTAGGGATGTCTGATCTTGTAGAGATTTTTTCCAACCCCCTCCCTATTTTCCTCTTTGCCAAAGAGAAAATTGTTCTTGTGGGGCAGAGGGCAGGGAGACACTAGGTAGCAGAAGAGCACTGTAGCCTCCGTCTCCTGAAATCTTTCCTGGGATAGTTTAGCCTCTGGAGTGGGCTTCTAAGCGTGCTCTTCTAACTAAAAAATCATCGGCTCTGTCTCTGCGTGAAGCTCCCACCACAGCAGCTGATGTCCTCCATGTCCCATGGGGGCACTATGAAGTGACCTCTCAGAGGATGCCCAGGGTTTGAAGTGGAGCTTGGCTGAAATGAGAAAGAACAGGACATGGCTGTTGGAAAGTCTTTTTGTCAAAAATAATTACAACATGCTTGGTGTTAAATGAACACCAAAGAAATGATAAAGCTCCTCTCTTCAAAAAGCTTTCAATATTGTGCAAGAGACTAAAAAAACAAAAAACAGGAAAACCCAGTAAAGTGTTGCTAGTGTGATTAGCTAAGGGCCACAACACCACAGCCCTGCTGAGCTTGGTCTGTTCACAATGGAGTCTTGCCAATGGCACCTCCAAATCCTCACACTGGTCTCCCCCTCAGGCCCCACTTGGGCTTCTGCGGTACCTCCTTCCATCCTCCTCTCCGGCCAGCTTTCTCCACACTCCACAGGGCAGCCAGCCACTTTTTTTTTTTTTTTAAAAAGATTTTATTTATTTGACAGAGACACAGTGAGAGACGAACACAAGCAGGGGGAGTGGGAGAGAGAGAAGCAGGCTTCCCGCAGAGCAGGGAGCCCGATGTGGGGCTTGATCCCAGGACCCTGGGATCATGACCTGAGCCGAAGGCAGACGCTTAATGACTGAGCCACCCAGGAGCCCCCAGCCAGACACTTCTGAATGTAGATGTTTTGATGGCCCCCTTGTAACGACTCTGAGTGGCTCCCTGCCCTTGTGACACTATAGAAGCCAGTGAAAGCCCCAATGTTCTTGGTCTGATTGCCCCTGCTGCCTCACGTTCTTCAGAGCGCTTAGCTTCCTGCATGTTTTCAATCCTTTTTAGTTTTGTCCATTCTCTTCCCTCTTCCCCTTATCTCTTAGGGCTTTTAAAACTTGGGCTAAGTGTAACAACCTCTAGGATAACTTCTTAGAAAGTGCACCCATCTTGGTTCTAGAACATGTAGCATGGCCCAACTGCTAGGAGCACAGGCTGGTGCCAGATGGTGTGGGCGGGCTGTCATTCTGACCTGGCCATTGACCGTGTTACTCAGGTCAACTATTTTGTTCATGTTGTGCTTTAATTTCTCACCTATGAAATGACAGGAGTCAGACGTACTTCACTGGATTGTTGTGAAGACTGTATTCAAACAGCTCCTGGCACGTAGCAAGTATGCAATAAATTTTACCTATTACAACACTTACGGTATTGTCTTTATTGGTGTCTCATTTGCCAACTCTTAAGATCTCTGAGGTTGGGGACTGTCTCCGGTCATCTGTGAAACCTCAAGAAGGTGGAGAGCAGGTGCTTACAAATATGCCTGAGGTGAACTGTTAAGAAACTTTCTGAAGGTGAACATAAAGCCTGGATGACAGATCTGGAATTCCAGGTAGGGATTATGACAGGAGAACATAAGAAGGAATCTGTGCAAGAGGATGGAGGAAGCGAAACAGGGAGAAGAGAAGGCTGAAGAAGAAAGGGAATGCCGATGTCTGGGGCCAAGAGGGATGCAAAATGGCTCTGTCAAAGGGCTGCATGGAGAAGAAAGAAGCAAGAAGACGATGCAACAGAATCTGGTGGAGGAAATTCCTGGAAGCGACGAGACTGGTTAGAGAAAAATAGCCATTATTCATTAGTTGCTGGAATAGCTACTATTCCCAAACCCTTCTTCCTTAGAAAGAAAAGGCAATTTTATGATCACAAAGAGGCCATGTTTTTTTTTATTGACAACTCAATCTCTACATACGTACAGTATTGCACAGATTCTAAGTGAATTGACAATTATATTAACAATATGGACTCATGAGCATTTACATACAGCTACTACTCTAGGTGTTGGTGCATTTTGTGCCAGGTACTTCATTAAATACAACGGACATAAATAGGACAGCTACTTCAATTCATGAAATCAGCTTTCAAAAAAAGCGTACATGTCTTCGCATAGAACACTTAGTTTGTCAAACCCAGGAAAATCAATAACTAAATGACAAAAAGAATGCTGTCAAAAAAAAGTAGGTGATGAAAATGTTAAGAATTACAGTCATTGAACTTGAGATCCAGAAAGTGTACACGTATTGGGAATTTGAAGAAAAGACCCTCATGTTCTGCTTCAAAATGACTACTATATTCGAAAAGGATATTTCTGGGTTGGTACAAATGTCTTCTCTGCTAATATAAACCACTGTTTCAAAGTTCTAAAGAAACAAGATGGTAACTCACATAAGTGGGTTTTAAAATAAGATTCTTCTCACTCAAAATAAAATAAACTAAATACGATCTTCATCAAATTATAAAGAAATCTTATCAAAATGCCAACCACATAAAGAAGCCAGACCACACACTGATCTTCACTGACTGCCTCAGACTGCAGAACTAGTGGCCCCTCCATGGAAGGGGAGAGAGAGTAGTTCCAACTTCTGCCACTACATAGCCCATAGTGTGAAGGTGGACGGACGTCCTGCAGGTTCCCTGGGGGTTGCTTCCCCAGGTATAGCACTGAGGGGGTGGGCTGGATGGCTTTTAAGACACCTTGCAACCCAAAGGATCTAAGCCAGCTTGAGATTCCACCTTTGAGGGGATGTTCTGGGTAGCAGAAGAAATGGATTAAAAACAGTGAGTGAAGTATTTCTTACCTTTTGATGCCATCGCTCAGAACTGTTCTGCACTGCAGTTCAAGGAAATCTTTGTTCGATACTTTCATCTACCAGCTGGTGCTGCTGAAGGGTAAAGCAAATGAGGCATCTGACAAAGAAATTTTGGACACAAACGCAGAAATGCTGTGCCAAGTTTGGGTAGAAAACCAGTGCACTTCCACGTCACGCCGGCAGTCAGGATCTTCTGCCATCAATCTGGTCGGGAAATGAACGTTCACGCCACTCTCAACAGTGAGCTATGGCGTGCACACGTATTAAAAATATGTTTCCTGAAATCCTCCCAGGTAGGCAGCTTTCATGAAACTGGTTCTAATAGAAAGGATGCAAGACAATTAAGTGCAGGGTAGGATTTTTTTTTTTCTTTACAAATCAGGAAAATGACCCAAAGAGAGCAATGGTTTCTCATTTTGTGCCCTCTAAAAAGAATACAAATACTGCTTCTTCTGGAATCTAACACACTGGCTTCACTTTCAAAAGGCATCATTTTATTTTCCTCATAAGGCAGTCATACATTATAAACTTTAAGCACGTGACAGTCACATGATTTCTTCAGTAAGCCCTAGGACTTCCATGAGTTTTCCTGGAGCTTACAGCCAGAGTAGTCAAATATTAAAGCTTTCTCCACAGCCACACGTTCCTTTGATGTTTGGGTTATTGAAAACAAACTCACTGGATAATTTATCTTCAACATAGTCCATTTCTGTTCCTAAAAGTGTTAGCTGTGCTTTCTTTTCGATGAACACTCTGACTCCTTGGGGAGAAGAAAACACGTGTCACATAAAGCCTGCAGGTCTATGGAACCTGCTGATTCAGAGCACAAGTGAACTTTTTAAATAGTAACCACTGACAAAAGTCAAACAGGAAACTTCTGAATCTGCTTCATTATTTCCTTTAAGAGATTAGGGCTCAGTTTCCTGTCTGTCCCTTCTTTTCCACCCAATAATCTATGTCAAACACAGTATTAGGCTTGGCAGTTGTAGAGAAGCATATTCCAATGACAATTCCATGCAAAACTAGAATTTGCTTTTCACAATACTTCACCCATTTTTCCAATATGCAACATGAAACATGTGAAAAGCCTTAACTGACATCCGTACACAGGACACACTGGCAAGCCGAGAGACGCACAGGACTGTGATACACTGGCCTGGGGTCATAAGGCCCATCAGTGCAACAGGGCTGTTCTGTTCTTCTGCTCAGGGGCCGGAAAACTGGCAGTAACGTAACTTCCTAGAACTATGCAGGTAGAGGTTGGTATCTTCGTAAATATAATTGGTTTAAGAAAGCTTTCTTCCTTATAAGAAACTACTCACTCAAATGTAAACTATATATAATTATTAGAGCTCATCTTCTGAAAAATTTAATATTTAAGGTATTTTATGTAGTGATTTAAAAAACAACGTATTAACAAAAATGTCATTATTGGTCAGTAACTTCAGTTTAATGAGATGAACGGTGGGAACCTGCAAGCTAGCTGACAGCACAGCTCTGACGCAGAGCCACCACTGAAATGCCCGTGCAGGCTGAAGTTCCCCCAAGGCTGTGGCATTATTTTCTTTTAAATAGGTTTTATCAGATTACTGGGTAGGGGCACAGGGGCAAGAGAGAATTAAAGCACTGACATTTTAAATAAAAATTAAAAGTACAGATTCCTCAAAAGCATAAGATGACATTACTTATTTGGTATAGACGTCAAACTGCTGCTTCCCACAAAAATGGATGGTTCAGTCTGAAGTTTTAGCGTTTTAAAACCTTTCCGCACACAATGATTATCTTTTGTAATTGAAATAAACAAACAAATGATAAGAGCACAGCCTCTGGAATCAACTTGAGTAGGTTCAACTTTTCACCAGGCCACTGAACTAGCTGAGTGACCTTAGGCAAGCTATTTCACCTCTCCATGCCTCAGTCTCTTCATCTGCAAAACTGGGGACAATATGGTACCATCTCACTCAGCTGCTGTGTATAAATCACTTGATATATGAAAGTCTGTCAAACCACCCTACCTCACAGCGAGCACTATATATGCTTAAAACTCACCATCTTGAACAACTTCTTCATCAGAATCTCCTTTTGTCTTTGTATATTCTAGAGTATAAGAAAGGCCATTACAACCCCTGGTTCGGACACCAACTTTCAGACCTACCTGAAAAAGCAGTGTAAATATAAACTTAGTTTTAAAGTAGTTCGTATTAAGCATTTATAAAAACCCTGGCTATTTGACATTATTTGTTTCTCCATAAGCTTAAAGAGGAATATTAGATTTCTGGCTATAACATGTCCCTTTAGGAAGTATAAGTGGAAAGGGGAACAAGCATTTAAAAAATTTAGCCATTTAACAAACAGCACTACAATACTAGTGGGGAATCCTAAAATAACAATTATATGCAAAAAACCCAAAACAATACATAGGGGGAAAACCCCCCAAAACCAGTCACTATCACTCTAAACATATTTTTTTTTCCTTTTTTCTTCCAGTTCTTGTCATATATACATATAATCTAAACACAGGCTTTATTATAACAGTAATAAGTCTTAATTCTCTGATTTGTTTTTGCCACTTAAGACATCATCCTTCCATGTGATTAACTTTCACAATTATCATTTGCATATAATGCCTTAGCAGTCCACTATACCAAGGCATGTTAACTACTTAACCCTTACTATTAGCCGTTTAGGTTGCGAATAACATTTTTAAAGGAAGAGGTTTTTGTTGTTTGTTTGTTTGTTTTTTTAAAGTAAGTTCTGCCCATGTGGGCCTTGAATTCACAACCCCGAGATCAAGAGTTACATGCTCTACCAACTGAGACATCCAGGTGCCCCTTAAAGAAGAGTTTTAATTCCAAACATGAATACTTTCTTTTTTAAAGGAAAAAAACTTATCTGATGGCAGAGATGACTATTTAACAAATTCTCACTTCCTCAAAACGTTTGTGCTCCACCTCATCGCATGAGACGTTCTCAGGAAATTTCCCTCCCTATGGTTAGGTTCACTGAGGTCCCCAGGCTGTCCCCTGGCAATCATACCTGCCTCTACACAGGGCCTTAATTCTAAGGCAGAACTATGAAAACATTCTCAAGTACCAGAAATCAAAAGACTGCAGCCAACACAGATGTTAAGAAGTTTAAAAAGTGACCAAACTGCACTTTTAAAATACCAATGTCTATCTTAATGTGATTTTCTAACAATATCTACCGAACTTCTACTCTTGGATCCTATCTGCTTTTTTGAAGTATACAGTAAAAGTATTATCATAAAAAGTATGATTTCACCAAGCAGATCTTGATTCTCTTAAAAGTAGCAATGTGTACTTGCTTCAGGAAAGCAATCACGAGTGGGAAGACACTTGGTGAGACCGGGAGTTAGAATGCTAAGCTGCCTGGGAGTTCTGATGAGCTGAAGCATCCTGACAGTAGTCTCTTCTGTCCTTCAACAACAAGGAGACAGAACTGTGGTTTTATTCACTCTCAGAGTGAGAGCTGAGAGAACATGTGGGGCGTTTCACATATTCAGTATTATCAATAGTAAACTGTCTAGCTGAAATTCTGGAGCACAGGTCCTAAGTATTGACTTGACTTAGCTTTTATCTTCATAAACAGGAAAGACTCAAGCAAGTAGAAAGTCCAACTCCTAGGAATGAATACAGATACTTACAGATTACAGGAAAATACAGCTTTAGGTACCTGGAGTTTGGAAAAGGGACTGCTTGTACCAGCAATGAAACCCAATGAAGTGTTTGCTCCATCCTTTTCATGTCTTTGTCATCCCTCAAACCTACACTCAGTGTTTCATTTGGTCGATGCGTATATACTCTTTTCATTAGTCTATCCTAATGGAGTTGGCATACTGATATTTTTAGCATTTAATAATTCTTAGGAGGAACGTGCCAGAACTTCATTACATTGTAATGCAGGTTGTACAACAGAACCTAGAAACCATTCCATAGTCTAATTACTAAATTTTAAGAGTTTAGTACTTGGATGTAATTTACAATATTCCACAGGCAACTAACAATTCACGAAGGTGAAGGTGATGCACACTCCCCTTACTCAACAATTTTGCGTCTAGGACAGCCTACATAGGTGCACTAAACCAGGCTTACAGGCTTAGTCTTCTAGAACAATGGGCCTGGCAACCTACAGACACTATTTGCTGAATGATGTTTGTGGCAGCACTAGATGTAAACAACCCCGAAGACCTTTAATATGGAGGACTGGCTAAATAAATAAAATAAAATACACTAATATATGCAGTCATAAAAAAAGAATGAGGTGGGTCTTTCTGTAATGTTCTGGAAAGAACTTCAAGCTATATTATTAGGGGCAAAAAGCAAAGCATAACCACAGCATGTATGGAATGCTTTCCTCTAAGTAGGAAAAGAGATACACAAACATTCCAAGCATGATCTAGGCCAGTAGTGCCCCTCGGGGAATTATTATTGGTTGTCACAACTGAGGAGTGGGGCGGTGCCACCGGAATCTAGTGCAGAGAGGCCAGAGAAATACTAAACATCCTGCAATCCACCTCCAACAAAGAATTATCCGGCCCAAAACATCAATAGTGCAGAGCCTGAGAAACCCCAGTGTAGGCAGATAAAAATGTACAGATTGTCTGAGGAAGGACACTTAAGAGGTGGCCCCTTAGAAGGATGAAAGACAGCCAAGAGTTTGGGGTCACAAATGATGTCTTTTTCACTGAATACCCTGTTTTATTTTATTTGAATTTCTAAAAACCATGAGCATATTTTACTTTTTAAATAAAAATCCCTAGCCAGTGAAAACATGCTGTTTATCACAAGATAAATTCAGTGTGAAAATACAACCTCAATTTTTTACTGAATATTCATTTGATTGGTTTTACTTACGTGTTCGGGCTTATCTTTAAGAAGCTGTTTTATCTTGTTTACTGCTGAAGGTGTCTGAAAAAAGAACAAGTTATTAAGTTTTTAGCTACCAAACTTGCTTTCTTTAAAGCCTTACAGTTCTGTAGTCTTTTTTTTTTTTTTTTAAAGATTTTATTTATTTGACAGAGAGAGACACAGCGAGAGAGGGGACACAAGCAGGGGGAGTGGGAGAGGGAGAAACAGGCTTCCCGCGGAGCAGGGAGCCCGATGTGGGGCTCGATCCCAGGCCCCTGGGATCATGACCTGAGCCGAAGGCAGACGCTTAACGACTGAGCCACCCAGGCGCCCCTCAGTTCTGTAGTCTTTAAGACTATTCAAGTATATCTTTAGCAAATTCGTCTGACAAATTTATATTCTTGTCTGAGTACCTTGTGGCTTTTATACACAAACACATCAACTCTCGTCAACTCAAAGCATTCTATTTTTATTTTTAAAATACCTTCTAGCAACATCCT